TGTATGGCACTGACCGAGGAAATGCTATCATAAGGTCACTGTCACGAATCCACTATCCATTTTCGTCTCTCGTATGCGTACTGACTAGTGCTCTGTCCTACGGTTCTGCCACCAGGAGGGAAGACCACATTGGCTCAATAGACAGCAAGCCTGAGGAGCGACTGCTCATGAATGACACAATTAGTCCTCTCCTCAAAGCCCCCCTCCACTCTCCCTGGGGCTCTAGCCCTCTGCTCCCATTGACCCTCTGAGCTGATGCCATCTCTTACTACAACTGCTTTTAGACAGCAGAATTCCCGGCTTTGAACTTTCAGCCCAAATGACGAGAAATGCGTTTTCCTGCAGCGAAAGAATGCCAGTGGCTCAACCTCTTGGTTTCAAAAAAAAAAATAGCCAACGTGAATTGACATCCTGAGAGAAACAGAATACCGCATACAGCAGAATGTGAGATTCTGAGTCAGCAAGAGCGACACATTTGATATGATGAAGTCTTTCCTATTAAGACGCGCATGCATATATATATATATATATATATATATGGAAGGACAAACTGATGGTCAACTTATAGACTGTACTCCTTTCTCATTTTTAAGGGGAGGGAGGAAACTGCTTTGATTTTCACAGATTTCTGTTCTGGAATACATGATCAATGAAATTCTAGAAATCAGTGAAATCCTAAATTTGATTGCAATGTACACAAATGCTGTTGCTTAGTACGATACTTTGAATTCAATATACATTGCAAGTGACCCTTCACCTGGTGACCTGGTGTGGCTTCTGTTATCTGAACCTTCAAATTATGTAGGGCTTGATTGTGAGCTCTGTTTTTCGCAGATGGAAAGCAAAGAGCGCCTTTTCTCAATTCCATGGCCTGTATCATAAACCGGACTTAGTTCTCTTCTAGCGAGGTCCCATGCTGAAGCTCACACCTTGCTGATCTATAATCTGTCCTCTCCTGCACTTCACCATCATCTCAAACACTCAAATATGCTATACTGAGAAATGATGTGTAGTGTGGCAAATACATGGCGTTTAGTTTACAAAAACCCCATGGAGAGGATTAGGTCCCACAAGGTGCAACACAATTTTTTTCCAAAACCATGTCAACTATACGACCTTAAGGCATCCCAGTCCTTCGCCCTAAACATTAGCTTGCTTAGATGTGCAATCCAGAAATGTTTAGAATGGCTCAAATAGAAACATCGATGGACTTGTCTGCAAAGTAATCGCCTTAGATAGTGTAGACTAAACTGCTTTCCCATATGGCTAAAGTGGATTGATTTGGGGGAAAGGGAATGATTTAAATAGCAGGTACAGCGAAAAGTTGAACAACATTTTTACTTTGGTAAAAGAAATCAATTGCTTTAAGAAGCGCAGAATTATCTGGTGCAATTTCTCAATCAAAGCTGCCGATGGTGAAGACTGGAGAATGAGAAATTTGAAAGGGAAAAAATCATTCTGTAAAGTTCGAAACTGTATGTTCTTTTTACAGAACTCAGTTATTGTCTCTCTTCCACGGTCCATAAATATTATATTCCATATGTAACTAAAAAAATGTTTTGAAGGGGAAAATATGTGATAATGAAAGTGTCCTTACTGCACTGGGTTTAGGTATAATAGTTTAAGGAGCATAAGACAATGACAGCGGTACACGCAAGTTGTTAAATGTTGACAGAACATTATATTGTACAGATCCACTTTAAGTCACCTTACTGTACTTCTGAGAAGTACAAAAGGTGTGGGGGGGGGGGAGATATACAACATTAATGTTTTTCCAATGGCAATGTTTTCAGTAAGATAGATGACACACTCCTGTCAAATACTCCATCTTTTTAAAATGTTGTGAAGGAATTTAGGAGTACAAGTAATGGTTATTTCTAGCATCAATTACTTCTTTTCTGCTTCATTTAAATTAAGGCATTATGTTAAAAAAATAATAATTAAGGACCGAATTAAGGACCCATCTTTAGTTAAAGGAAGGAAGGAAAACTACTGTGTAGCATCATGGGTGCATGGGGACCAATCTGGCAAGGTATTAAGAAGCTGCTGTGAGGTGCTTAGCATTCTCACTCCTACATAATATAGAAAGTACAAAGTGTCCTGATGACGAAAAGGAGTTGCTATCTTATTGCTTTGTTGGCGTTAGAAGTCTTTTTTGAGGGGGGAGGGAGCCATCCTATACGAATGCATCTAAAGGTTACTCTGTATGAATAAACTATTTGGGTAAGCAATATACAAAAGGCATAGCCATGCCAGCATAGTCTCCATACAAGCCAGTGCTTCAAAAAAAAAAAAGAGCACACCAGCGAAATCAAAACTTGCACATTTATTCCTACCGCAGTTTCACCCCAGATTTTCTCAGTTATATCAAGGTATAGAACCTCCAATCAGAATACTGAATCAAATCACCCACAAAACATACTCAGAAAAATCACTCGAGCCTTTTGTAACGGAGCACAATTAAGTTATCCATCACCTGACACTTTCGTGCACTTGGAAAGTGTGCTGCAAAAAAAAGCACCAATAGCAACATCCAACCATCTGAAATATACCAAATTTAATTTTAGGCTGATCATTAAAATAAACCCCCAATGGTGGCAGAGAGGCCTTCTTTCAATTTTGAACTGCAGTTCAAAGTTTTGTATTAGATTATTGCTTTGAATGTGTGGTCTGCAATCTCCATTGTCAGCAATCTGTGAAGCACATGGGCTTACGAGCAACATTTTAAAAAGTTCAAGTCCTTCCAATAGTGGGACTCAAATGGCAACTTTTTTATTTGCTAGAGATGAGCTTTGGAAGGAAAAGCAGGTGAAATGGATAATGGCAAGGGCCTTGCAGGGTTGTAACCTATGAAATACATGCTAGCAGATTAAGCAAAAGAAATGATCATCAAAGACACATACAAATGCAACTAGATCCATTTCAAAAGTGGTCAGACCTGTCAAGGCAATGCGAAACAAGAACCAAACAACGTGCTCCATTTTTAATCTAACAGTTCATTCCACATGGCCCTCCGCTAACCTAGCAGACAACATTAACTTGGAAGAAATTACAGGCTCTCAAATGGATGCATACAGACTTCCATCCTTTGTACGTGTATATTCAAATGCAGGCTACAAACCTACAGCTTTGGAGGCATGCATTTGTGGGAAGATTAGGGGAGGAATGATAAAAGTCAAATATGGGGCATTTCATACTTGATGTACTAGAAAGTAATATCCAATAGCCTGTTCACAATTCTTCTTCCAATACTCAAACTACCTTCCGTCTATTTTATTTGAATTCTAAGCCTGCTCAGTCCTTCCTTATCCATGCTCTGGACTCAAACGACACCTAATCTGTCCTCAGATGGAGATGGGAAAGGTATCCTCAAGATTTGAGACCTACTGCCAAATCTTAAATGTGTTCACTCAGAAGTGAGCCCCCACGTAGTTTAAAAGGGAGTTATTCAGTTGCTTTTCAAGTAAGCCTCACTGACTTTCGTGGGGCTAATTTCTGAGCAAACATTGCCAGAAATGGGTCGTTAGAGAACTTATGAGTTCCCTATATATGTTAGAAGGGTTCAGTCAGACCAAGAATGCCGTCTTAGGCCGTAATCCTACACGCACTTACCTGGAAGTAAGCCCCACTGAAAACACTGGGATTTACTCCTGAATAGACATGTGCAGGATCAAACTGTTCACAAGCACTTTCCCTAACTGAAGACCTTTCTGTTTCCACGGGGAGCACCATCGAGTGATCTCATAAAATCTCCAAGTAACCAGGCAGATGAGAGGCATGGCATCAGCCTGCCAGTTCATGAAAACAAATGCCAACTTTCCCCCTTCCATGCTCCTCCAAGCGTGTCAGGAGAGGTCCAAGTCTCTCTCTCTCTCTCTCTCTCTCCCCCCCCCGCCCTCCCTTACCCAGCGAGACCCATCTCCTAACAAAGCGCCATAAATTCATCAACAGTCGTTGTGCCGAGGAACAACAGAGGGGGAGAGGGAGAGAGAAACTTGCACCTGTCTTTCTTGACACAACACACCTGTCTGGCACTGCCCATGCGCACTTGGAGCGAAGCGCCCCTTGGACAATTTCAAGAGCTTTGCCAAAGCGGAGGCAAAGAAAGAGAAGCGCACCAGCAGCCTCTCCCGCCGCCGCCAGCCCGCCCTTGTTAGAAGAGGCCACCGGGGGCTGTTACAACCGCTTGCGAGCCAAAACTGCTGCTCGGTCGCTGCTTTGCAACTGGGGACTCGCTTCGCTCCCCCCCCCAACCCCACCGACACCCCCCTCGCCCCCTCCACCTGCCGGGCATTATTTCTTCTTAAGACACGGCCTCCCATGCTGGAGGGCACTTTTCTTTGCAACTCTTTGCCTCTTTCCCCTTTATTTGCGCACGCTGAAACTTAAGCACCCAGACATACACGTGTACCCCCCCTACGCGCGCGCACACACCCCCTACCCAGGCACACACTTGCACAGTCGTCCGACAGGCACCGTTTGTAGCCAGATCTTCGCTACCACGGCAGGGGGGAAGGGGGTGCGGTAGGGGTAGAGGAGCTTTGCCATATTGAGTTTGTCCGCCAAATTGAGCTAATCCCACCAACTAGCTAGGAATAAATAAAAAAACGAGGAAGGGAAAAGTGTCCCGTTACGGGGGCAAAGATTTCTCCTCCTTCCGCGCCCCCACCTCTCCAAATCACGCGCGCGCACCCCCCAAAAAAACCCCAGTCCGCCGCGATCCGCCAGTTTGGAAGCACTTCGGCTCAAGTGCTGCGGAGCGACGCCTCTAGAGGAAGCCGGTCGGGAGCGGAGAGAGGAAGAGCGAAAGCGCGCTCCGGAGAGGCAAGATTCTCCTCGAGAATGAAGCGTTCTTTCGAAAAGAAAAGTCACACGCGCGCAGGGCAAAGCCAAGCCGATCAACTTGCAGCACCGAGAGAGAGAAAGGGAGAAAAGAAACCAAGCAAGGCAAGAACTCTTGAGCAGACACGGAGGAGATCGCAACCGTGCCGCTGATCGTTTCTGGATCTCCTCCCCATCAAACTTCCCACCACCCATTAAGCCCTTTCATAGATTTCCTCGGAACTAACTTAAAACGCCCAGCCGGGAGCTCCAAGGAAAAGTGAGTCTGACTGCAACCTAGCCCTAAGAACCTGACCCCTGGTTTTTTGGTTGTTGTTTTTTTTAAGCACCCTTCCAGCTCATCCTTTCCCGTCCACCAGCCCGTCCTTCTCAGTCCTCCCTCCCCCGCAAAAAAGAAGTATTCAAACACCCATACATTTTCCCCACCCCACCCCTCCTGCTCAAATCCTCTCTCCGCGTATTTATAAATACAGCAGGTGGGGGGTGGGAGATATGAGAAGTCAGGGGCATGCAAATGATAAGCAAATCGAAGGAGACAAAAAGAAAGGCAGCGATTAATAAACAAGACAAAGAAGAAAGACCAGACCAGGAGTTGGAGAGAGAGAAAGGGGTGGCGGGGCGATGGGGGGGGTGGAAGAAGGAAGGAAGCAAGCCTCAGGAAAGACACTCATACAAAGCCGAATCATTCCCCACTCCCAACCTTTTTTAAAAAAAATACAAAAACCTTTATACGAAACATCGATTTAAAAAGTCGAGAGGAGAAAGAACGGAAGAGAGACAATCAGGAAAGGGGGAAAAATACATTTCCAACATCAAACCTTGTCCTTTCCAACTAGGCAAACTATTGCGATGATTGTACCGAAGCTTTTAGAGTTTGGGGCATAGCAAAAGCAAAAAAGCCCCGTTATCAGTGTGGTCTTATTAGTCTCTAACGTCATTAACCTCATACTGGGGGACGAGGAGAAGAAATCAGCAAGAATGATAGGGGTTTTTTGGGGGGGAGGTTCCCCTAAGGAGGATAAATAAATAAATAACCGCACACACCCCCTGCCCCCAACTTGATCCAGCATTTGGAGCAAGCCCGTGCCAGCGTCGAAGAAGACCATCTCTCTTACCCGCCACCCCACCCCACCCCCAATTTAAAAAGAGAAAAGAAGTGAAGGGAGACAGATACTTACTCAGTTGCAAAGGCGATGAAACTGAGCCCCCCCTCCTCTCTCTCTCTCTCTCTCTCTCTCTCTTTTCCCCCTGCCGGTTAGATAGAAGGAGAGAAAGAGAGAGAGAGAGACGGAGAGCGAGCGAGCGAGCAAGAAGGGAACGCGCACACGCTCCGCACAACTACACAGCCTTGCTATCTTGCCGCTGATGAATATTGTAATTGGCCCAGGGAGGGAGAGAGTGAGCGTGCCAGGGTGTATGTAGATGCGTGTGAGTGTGCGTGTGTGAAAGAGAGAGAGAGAGAGAATGAGCGAGGGTGCAGTAGAGAGAGAAAGAGAGAGAGAGAAAGCAAGAGGGAGAACAGAGAGAGAGGGAGGGAGGAGGAGCACCCTGCTCTTCTGCGCCGCTCTCCTCTCCCAGCCTGTAATTGTCTCTTATTTCTGCAGGCAGCAGAGCAGCCTCGCTCAGCTGAGGGCTCCGCACCACAACAAGATTTACTTTAAGACACAGCTGAAGGAAACAGGAAGACTACACGTCACGCTCTGAGTGACGTGCGCCAGGCCCAGCGCCCAATCGGGAGGCTCCTTCGGATTCAAGGGGGATAGCGAGCGGAGAACTTGGGAGGAAAGAGAGCGAGACGTGGGGGGGGGGGGATTGTGCCGGGGGGGGAGGAGGAGGAGGAACAGGATGGGATCGGTCTCCCCCACTTGCTGCCCCCACCTCGCCGTCCCCTTTCTCCACCCCTTGGCCCCCATCGTCGCTGATGGGAAGGAGACTTTCGTCCCAAATTTGGAGGAGGGCGCATCGGGCGAGCCGTCTGTGCCCGGCGCGGAGTTCAGCCTTGCCGGGTGCGGAGATCAGTTACTGAACGTAACTGGCTTTGGTTGTTCAGTTTAGTTTGGGGTATGGCTACAACGTTGCAGAAAGGAACGTGGAAAGGTGCGCCTGACTCAAAAGGAAGGGGTGGGTGGGAGGAAATATCCACGCGCGTTTTCTATAGCTGGTGGTCAGAGATAACCCGGGTGTGTAGGGAGTGCAATCGGTGTAGCCCCGCACCCGACGCTAGTCCTCGGAGTCCCACGCAGGGTAGTAGGGCATTCCCACGTAAGAGTGCTCAGGATTGCGGACTAATTACAATTAAACCATCCATCCGCGCACAGAAAGCAGGTGCGCGCGTAAAGACGCGCTCGCGTAGCGGAAAGGGGGCATGTCAACGTGTGGCAGGGATACCAACCCCCCACCCCCACCTCACCCCCAAGAAACTTTACAGCCTCGTTAAGATTTCAAGTTGGTGGGGCTTTCGTCGCCTTTTGAGCAACTTTGTGGTAGGTGGACAGCCTGATGCAAAAACAGCTAAGGCGAAATCGTTAAAAGTAAAGCTTTCCTTCGACTGCCAGTACTTCGGTTTAGTTGGTGGTGGGTTGGACTGTGTGTCATTGCTTAGGCACGGGGAGAGAGGGAGGGGGTGGTGGCATTGGATAAGCTGCACTGAACGAAGCCAAGGTGCCCTCATTCCATCCATTCCAGGCAATCACGGTTGTCAATGGCCAGGAAATGGTTCTCGGTCTTTGACAGACTCTTATAACTATAGAAGTAGGGGCATCAAAAAGGTCAGTTTTAATCACGGTATATATAAACTAACTAACTCTCTCTCTCTCTCTCTCTCTCTCTCTCTCTCTCACACACACACACACACACACACACACAAACACAGAGCCCTTTAGATCTAGACAAAATACCAGTGTCAGCAACCTTTGCACTGCGTAAAAACTCAGAAGGCGCAAGTGACTAACTTAAAACAATTGGACAACGCTCCCTTTTTTTCCCCTTTTGCAAACCTCTTCAAAGCCTTCAATACGAATTCACTTTCTCCTGATTTAAAGAAGTTCATCGATGTTTCTCTCTCTCTCCCGCTCCCAGGAGTGATACAACAAAATAAGTGGAAAGGGAAGTCGCGTTGGAGCCTTGAAGTAAACCAGGCGGTTGCTCCTAACCTGTCTTGTAGCTATACAATCTTCTGTTGGTCGTGAGGAGGCTCCTTAGCGCAGACGCCACAAAAAGCGTTCACCCAAAGTTCGGACCAAGCCTCCCTGTATCCATGATGTGTAGGTCATGAACTCAAGAGCCTTAAATTAAATCCTGCTTTAAGTCACTGGAAGGTGGGGTGGGGTGGAGACCACTAACTCTTTCCAATAACTCTGGAACACAATCAGATCACCGAGTTGGTTTAAAAACTCCTATCGGTAGTTCAGATTTACGATTTGTATGTCCACCGCGAACTCAAACCACACTTTTCTTGATAGTTTATTCAACTCATCCAGCTCCCTCTTCCAAAGGTTGCCTTATTGTTGTTGTTGCTACTACTATTAATACTGAAGGTATGTCTATTCCTGGTACCACAATGAAAGCAAAAAATTAACTTTATCGGGATATTAAAAAAAAAAATCAGAGCAGACAAGTTAAACCGCTTTGAGAAAAGACGGCGCGCTGCTTATCCTATACGCGGGGGGGAAATAAAATCCTACCCCTGCCTTTCTTTCGGACAGGTATCTGTGCAAAATATTTTAAACACATAATTTTAAAAATCCTAACCTTATCTGCATTAGTTACGGCATCCGGGGAAAAAAACCCATGCCGATGCACAGGTAATCTTTTTTTTAACACACACACAGAGAGAGAACACGCAGGAATCTGGCGCGCCCACAGATCCGAGTCCGCTTGAATGGCTCGCAGCGTGCGAGGATTTTGGCGCTCTCTTTCTGGTCGCTTTCTAACTTTTAATTCCGGGATTTCTTTAGGGCGCATGGGGTTTATTCTGCATATATGCTCTCTCGTGCACGTGCAACATTCCCTTCTCCATCCCTTCCTCTCTCTCATTCCAACTCCAGAAATACTAGCAAACTGCTGTGGATAAAAGACGGGCGCCCAAAGAAAACAGCGGCGGAACAATTCAAAACAACAACACCCCCAAAACTTATTAGAAACTCGAATCTGAGAACACTTTTTTTTTTAAAAAAAAGAAATAAACAAGGAGAGAACGCGAGCGAAGGAAAAATGACAGAGAGCAACTGCGTGACGGGGATAACAGGGAGAGATTGTGTTGTTCTACATCTCTCGCTTGGGAAAACTGTGGAGCCGGGTTAGGGGGGTGCAATAGTCGTTCTTGAAGGCAACCCTCTCGGGGAGAAGGACTGGCTGGGTCGTGGTCCCATCGCCCGGGGTCCCCGGCACTTAATTCGGGAGGGAAGCGAAATTTGGAGGCTGGGGCGAGCGAGAAAGAAAAACTCTCCCTTAGAAACGGTCCACGCCCCCTTCCTTCCTTCCTACTGCGGACTTCTGGGCTGTAGTCCACTGGGTGGGGGGAGGCTATCATTTCGCGGCCCTTCATCCAGGGGGCTAACCCCCCTCTTTCCCCAAGATTTCACACAACAACCTCGATCTGGGACGCAGGGGTTGCAGCTGGAGTGAAACCCGGAAAGTGTCCTCCTCCCCACCTCCCCACCCCAAAAAAAGCCCTTTGCATCTACTTGTTCAAATCTCTCTCTCTCTCTCTCCCTGGAGAAAAACTCCTGAATATCTGATGCGACTCTCCCATCTGTTTCCTAATCTGTTAGGTGAGGCAGAAGAGTCAGGAGGCGAGGGGGAGAAAACCCGCTCGGTTGCGGAAGGAGAAGCAAGGCGCCCTTTTTCCCCACCGAGGCGTCTCCCGCGCGCCCCTCCCGTCTTCTTATCTTCTGCAGAAAAGAGGAAACTACCGTTTTTAGTGCCTCTTGGAAAGCCTGTCATAACCATAAAACTGCGGTGGGAAAAACAGGCCCGAGTCCTTGAACTCCAAGCAGCCAGTTCTTCTCAGGGCAACTTCTGCTTCTCCACTTTAAAAAAATAAATAAATGAAATAAAATTCCCTTACCTTTGCCTCTCGAGTTCTTCCTGGACTTGTGGCTCCAGGTAATGGAGACCCCATGAGCGCCTCGCCGGTTTTATAACTTGCGACGGCTTCGAGGTGCTGCCTTTGTCTCCCCTCGCCACCCCCACCCCCGATGGTTTATTTTTTAATTTTTTTTTTAAGATATCCTATTTGTAAAACAACATAAAAGTCAGCGCCAACTCCCGCGGCTGCTTGATGGCCTTTGTGTCAAACTGAGAAGCGATCAGTCCTGGTTTAATGCGCAGCCTGTCAGAGTTTATTTTCCTTTCCCCCTCTTTTTCTCTCCCTCCACCCCCGCCTCAAACTCGACGGTTGCCCCACCGAGGACCGGCTCGGGGCATCCCTCGCCCCCTCGGCGGAATTATGGAGACCACGCGGCGAAGCGATGCAAAAGCGGCAGCTGCGAGGAGGAATTCCCTGACGGGAACCCGGCTGCTTTGCTGTGACCCCTCTGAAGTGCGCTGTTTGTTTAACCGACGGCTCCAGTCTAAACAGAAATAAAACGAGCGCTTCTCCCGAGCCAAGTTCGGCTCCTCCGCGCTGCGCGGCGCGCACCAAAAGTTTGCGCTGCTTCTCCTCGGACCCCCCCTCCCCACCCCCAAACTCCTGTCGTTTCCCCACCGAATAAAACCACAATAACTTACATTAGCCGGTAAATAAGATACCCACGCGCGCACACTTAAAAAAAAAAACCCCAAACATAAATCCGTGCAAATTCTCCACTTGTCTTCCGGACGCAGTTGCCCACTTCTCATTCCTTTGGGACAAAATTGCAACATTTCTACTTCTGTAGCAATTGTTCCTTTTTAAACAACAGGGGGAAAGATATCCCACAGTCCACAGTCATCGTTCTGGGCATTATCTGGTCCCCAGTAATAATTATCCCATGATCCTTCAACAAACTTAAGTTTATTAGTATTGCCCATTTTACAGATGGGGAAAACTGAGAAAGAATGAGTTGCCCAAGGTCATGCTGGAGTGACCACCTCTCCCTCTCAGTCCCATGGCAGGGGATGATTGCTTGGCATTCAACAGGTGCAGCTTTTTTCTATCTTTGCTAGGAAATTCTTTACTTTGGGCTGGATTTGTTGGATTTCTGCCTGCTGTGTTGTTTTTAAAGGTGCAGGAGCTGTGCTGGGTGGGGAGAGGTAGGAGGGCTGGTTAAGGGATAAATGGCAAAGAACATCCTTGGTTGAAGTGCAGTTTGAACCTAGGTCTTGTCCCCCTGCCACACATTGCCCTTTGGGTGGGGCTGTGTATGTGGAAGGAGAAGAATATTTTTGAGCATGACAATGCAACAGCAATTCACAATTGACTGGTACCCGAGATATCGCCAGTACTGGCTTCGCCTCAGGCAACCAAACTTTCCAAAAATCAAGACATTAACAGATGGTGGCAACCACATGGAGAGATGATGTTGCTTAGAGAGAATCTAGTCATTTCACTCAAGCCGATAAAGAGTGAATCCCAGAAGGACACCGTGTATTCTGAAGAGTTCTGCACTTGGCCCATCCTTATCCATCTCCCTTCTGCTCCTGTTTCATCAGCTTCGTGATCTTTTTCTTTTTGGAGAAATTCAATTTTTTTTGGGGGGGGAGGGAAGCTTCCTGAGAGGGATGATGGCCCACCAAGTGTTTGTGTGGCATTAAGGACACTCAACGATCTCGGTTTATTTTACTAAAAGAAAAGGTCGATCTACATACAGAAAAAACAATGCCGTTAAAAAAAGGGGGGGGGGAATGGCTTTTCTGTGGAAAAGGCCAGGAAATGAATAGATACTATTTCTAATAATATTGCCTGGGAACTGGGACAGAAGTGCTGCATCCTAAGGAAAAATTAAAAAACCACCTCTCAAATCTATGATTTGCAAACTTTTGCATGCAATGTAATTTGTTAAAAATGCTTGAACCTAATCTGCATCTAGTTCATTATTCCTTCTGATAGTGAACCTCAGAGCGCATATCTGGAAAAGCTTTTGGGACTGGCATAATAAAGCCGATCTTGATTTCTCTATTGAAATTATTTCTCATGTTTCATTATCACCTGGAATAAGGAAGAATAAAAAAAGACTTCCTAAAAGGAAAACTACCTGTAGGGTAACTTTAAATGATGACCTGGGAAGTTGGTAAAAGTTCACAGTTTTACTGTAATGTATATAAAAGGCACTAAACTGACTAGATATTGGTACTGCCCTGCAGGCTAACGCATAATCTAGTAGTGCTATACCAATAGAATTTTACCTGTAAACCAATTTTGCTGTTGTGATTTTCCCCAAAGAATCCAAGAAACTAGATTTTTGTAAAGGTGCGAAGAAATTTCTCATTGGGATTGCTGCTAACCCCTTTTCAGAACTACGGTTTGCCATGAGCCTTTTGGTAGGCACAGAAAGAATGACTATTACACTAATTTAAGGCTTTGCTGTGGATATACAGCTTAGGGAGAACATTGCAAATAGCTCGCTCTCTGTTGGTACCTGAGACCAGCTTTCGCTTTCTAATGTTCTGTGAATGAATCACTTCAGTTTTCTTTTCTGCCTAGTGAAGAGTCCCATGCGGACATGTGTGGCATGGGGGTGGTCACACACCACTTGCATTCTCAAAGAGGGTTAGTGAGAGAAAGATGTGGTCTGGGGAGAGCAGGTGTGACTGGGTGCAGGTTGAGGAGAGTCCTGATAGAGAAGCATGGGGGTAATCTTTGGCCCATTGGCCCTTTGGCTTCTCTATGGCAATTATAAGGAACATAGGAAGCTTCCACATGTCAAGTCAGACTGCCCATCTAGTAAATACCTAGAGACAGCTATCCAGGGTCTCAGGCAGAGGCCCTTCACATCCTCTGGTGCCCAGATCCTTTTAACTGGAGATGCTAAAGATTGAGCCTACCTTCTGTGGGGGGGACGGGGACGTGCTCTAGCACTGAGTTTCCCTAAAAGCTACTAGACATGATGACTATGTCCTACCTCCACTGTCAGAGGCCCTATGCCTCTGAATTGCTGGAAATCACGTGGGCTGAGTGCTGTTGCACTCATGTCCAGCTTGTGGTCTTCCCAAAGGCATCTGACTGGCTGTTGTGAGGAGAAGAAGAGACTGGAGTAGATGGGCCATTGGCCTGATCTAGCATGGCTTGTCTTGTGTTCCTGTGTATGGTCCCTATAGGAGAATGGGCACATCTGGGAATTGAAGCAAAAGGGGAATGACTGGATAGCTCAGTTGGTTGGAGCATAGGGCTGAGAATACCAAGGTTGCAGGTTCAATCCCCATATGGGACAGCTGCATATTCCTGCATTGCAGGGGGCTGGACGAGATGATCCTTGAGGTAACCTTCCAACTCTACTGTTCTATGATTCTATGAACTAACAAGTCTGAAACAGGAAAAACTTTGAAATAGGGAGGGCTGCAATGTTTTAGCTTTGTTTGACTGAAGAGGGGTTCCCATCTACCACCGATGATCAGTCTGGACCAAGTCTAAAGTCAACGAACCACCAAGAAGGAAGAGCAGGGGTCTTGAGATTCTTACTCTTTTATTATTATTTAAAAAGCTTGTATACTACTCTTTAGGACAATCACCTTGGAACGCATGCTGGTCAAAATGGCCCAAACACCAATAAAGCAATAAAAACCAGTTACAAACAAGAAAACCCAGAACAATAACCCCTATAAGTTGGCTTCTCAAATATGACTTGAAATTAATTGCCCATCTGCAGATAGCAGATGAAAAGACGCACAAGTCACCAGGACACACTTTTCCCATTATGGTGAACTGCACTGAATTTGTACTGAAATGGTAAGTTATTTCTAAATGTGCACCTCTGCATATACATTCGCATATGCAAATTGAATATAAATTGGCACCATCTTCTGCTCTCTGTTTTGCCTATTTATTTCCTGGCCATTACCCTATGCTTGTCCCCTTCCCCCACATTTGAAAAGAAGAATGTCAATCTTCCCTCAAGAGACTTCTTGATCTTCCATTCTACTTTCTGATTATCTCATGTATCAAAGAAGTGTGAACTATATCAAAGAAGAAGAGAAGGAGAGGGAGGAAGAAGAAATAGTACAGGTCGGTTCTTTTGCTGGTGTCTCCAGGAAGCAAATCTAAGATTTCACAAATATACCTTTACTGTGATCCTCAATATGAGCCCAAGGAACTTAAATATGGGGTGCAATTGACTTGTGACCCAAACATCTTTTACTGGTATACCTGCTCCCTGCCTTAAAAAAGCTCTCTGTGGAGATATTTCTAGTGTGATTTGTGCCATATTAATAACATAAGTAGCAGGACTCAGCTTCTCGGTCGGATTTAATCCCACACACTTCTCTCTCCCTCCACCCGCTGACCCTGATTTTTCTGAGGGTGGAGGAGAGACCTGATTTCCTAATAGAATCGGAGAGGATCTGCTTTGTCTGCTGTGACAAGGCAGCACAACACAATCTGAAGGCTGTCATTCATAGAAAGGTAGATTCTCCGGAGAAATGTAATGGTTACGGGTATTGACTGGCACTCTGTTGTGCATCATTTGGCCAAGTGTTCTGTTCTCTTCATCATGTTAGATAGAGGCAAATATGGTATTGCTGAATATTCTGTGGTAGCAGATGTTCTTTCCCAGAAGCCATTATTGAAATGCCTCTTTACAACAGATTTAAACTTGGGTCTGGTGGACTCTGTCTCTCCATCTCTCCATTGTCATTTCCAGATATTGATTTCTCTGCACAAAGTTTGTGGGGAGGTTAGACGATGCCAGCTTTTTCTTGAGTATTCATTCAGACTAGTTTCAGGTGAGGTTATACAACGTATAACGTTGTTATCAAGCAATTGTTAGCTTACACTTTACAGTGCATTTCCCTGTTTGGGGGCGGGGTTGTTGTGCAAGAGTGCCAAATAAAACTTCAATCGAACAACCTGAAATTGCAGGTATGTTATGGGACACGGGTGGCGCTGTGGTTTAAACCACTGTGCTGCTTGGACTTGCCGATAGGAAGGTCGGTAGTTCGAGGCCCTACAACGGGGTGAGCTCCTGTTGTTCGGTCCCAGCTGCTCCCTTCCTAGCAGTTTGAAAGCACACAGTGCAAGTAGATAAATAGGTACCACTCTGGCAGGAAGGTAAACGGCGTTTCCGTGCGCTGCTCTGGCTTTGCCAGAAGCGGATTAGTCATGCTGGCCACATGACCCGGAAAAACTGTCTGTGGAAGTGGACAAACGCCGGCTCCCTCGGCCTGTAAAGCGAGATGAGCGCTGCAACCTCAGAGTTGTTCGTGAATGGACTTAACTGCCAGG